CATTTTATTCACAAAAACATAAAAATTGGTTAAGAATTTGAAAAACCAATGCATAAAACCTGGACAATTGGACCAAACAGGTGGGATTAACTACCAATTCTATCGACTCCACAGAGCATTTGGTTGAGGTGTAACTTGCTAACTTAAACAAATGAAGTGGGGGTCTAAACATTAGACTTAGACAACTATTATTATTATTATTGTCATGTTGTATTCACAGAGTGTATACAAAATTGTGTATATGAATTTTTGTTTTGTTTCAGCTTTTAAAACATGGTGCAAAAACATGCATTGATATGGAAGTTCAGAGTATAAAATATTTATGGTGAAAATATGCAGAATTATGGTTTTGTGTTATCAATGTGATTCGGAGTCAGTGATATGATTTAGAGTTTTCACAACAATTCAGAAGAAGCTGTTTCGGAATCTGCTGGACCTGCATCGGATGCTTCGAAGTTTCTTTCCAGAGGGCTGCAGGGAGAACAATCCATGTTAGGGGTGTGAGGAGTCATTGATGATGTTACGGGCTCGGGACACGCAGAGCTGGGATAAAATGTCTTTAATGGAGGAAAGAGGAGCCCCGATTATCCTCTCTGCTATTCTCACCACTCTTCTCATGTTCTTCCAGTCTGAGGCGCTGCAGTCTCCACACCACACAGTGAGACAGCTGGTCAGAACACTTTCTATGGTGCTTCTGTAGGTCGTGAGGATGTCTGGGGGCAGGTGGGCTCTCCTCAACCTCCTCAGGAAGTACATGGGCTTTTGTGCCCTTTGAACAGTGAGGTGGTTTTTACAGTCCAGGTGAGATTGTCTTTGATGTGCATGATGTTGAGCTCTTTTCCTGCCAGCAACTAACAGCAATTTTCCATCTTCCGTTGGAAGTAAAAAAAAAAAAAAATTTCTGAATGTCTAATTTTGACCTTGTACAAAAATATTTACCTAGTTGTGGAATCATTGAAGATTTACATCACTAATCATTTCGCTGTGGAAAAAAAGTTCAATAACATCATTAAACACTGCAAATCTTTGTGACATTCTTGTTGATGATAATTAGGTTAAAATGGATCTTAGTTTTTCAGATTAATTTTGTTTATGATTTTCATGACCAAACATTAACTATTGGTGTATTTTAGCAACCATTTACTGTGTCAGTTTGTCAATTTCTTGACTAATCTTTCATCTATAGGTTTTCCTATGGCATTTTATAATAGAACATTGCATCAACAGAGAAAGAATGTTAGTAAGCACCTTCGTTGGAGATTTTAAAAAAAGATGTCTTCTCCAGCTGGATAAGTATGTTTCAAAGACAATAAAATATCTTACAGAAACCAAAGCAATGCAAATTTAATCCAATTCCTATGATTATTTCACACAATATCTGCCTACACATCTATATTTAGCAAGACTTATTACTCTAAAGAAAGGGCTGCTGTTGGCTTAGTTGCAATAATTAACCGAAGGAGAATATATTAAACCTGCTATTTATGTTTTCCCATGGCAATAAAGAATGAACAAATAGCACAGAGAGCTTGGCTTGGCATTGATGGCTTGGATAGAAAAGTAATAAGATGCATGTTAACTTTAATGGCTCTGACGCTGTCTATCTAAAAACAGACGAAGGCTGGAAATGAGAGCAATTAGAGGAATATGCGTGAAACAGTGCTAAATCCACTTTCGGAGAGAGGCACTGAGGCAGTGACAACTTTTAAATGAAACTTGAGAAGACATCAGTTGGTATGAAACTCTACGGTTGTTTTCTTTTATAGAGGAGCCGCACTGAGGCCATTGTTGAAAGAGATACAGAAGAAGTTTGCTGTTTTCCACAAGTCATGGACACAGAAAACATATAAAAGAGGATAGTTTCAGGGGATTTAGATAGAAATAAAACATCATACTGTGGCCATGCTAATCCTCAGCCATTCAGGTCGTTTATATTGTGAATTATGCTGTGAATTATAAATATGTTGTATTTTTAACCCATTTGACTTTAATTTCTAAGGCTGAAGTTTGATCCTAGTCATAACACAAAGAAGGCTATATATTTAAGTTCCTCCAGCTAATTGGATCAAGTCGCTGACTTTTCAGCAATTTCTCCGTTAAGCAAGAACAGCTGATGGGAAGGGGTGAATGGGTTAATGTCTAAATGTATCCC